AGAGAATGGCTGAGTAAGTTGTGGTATATGATTGTGATGGAATACTATTGTACTATAAGAAATGGTGAGCAGGATGCTCTCAGAAAAACCTGGAAAGACTTACATGAACTGATGTGAAGTGAAGTGAACAGAACCAGAAGAACATCATACACAGTAACAGCAATACTGTATGATGATCAACTGTAAAAGACAATCCCTAAGGACCAATGGTGAAAACTGCCATCCACCTCCAGAAAGAGAACTGAGTGCAGAGAACTTTCACACTTCTCGTCATTTTTTTGGTAACATGGCTCATATGGAAATGTTTCGTGTGACTTCATATGTATTGAAGTCATATTGCTTGCTTTTTAGTGAGTGAGGAAGGAGTTGGAGGGAAGGAGATAATTTGGAACTCAAAACAAAAAAATCAATGTTAAAAAAAAATAAAGCCAGCAAAGGAAGACAGGCTAAGAACATAGCTCTTAAATATGTGTGTAAAACTAGAAGGAAACTGAGAAAAGGAGTTAGATGGAAAAAAGGCATTCTTGATGTGAGAAACTGGGTCTAGAGTCTGGAATTTCAGGAGTTTAAGAAAAAAGTGAAGAATAAAGGGTGTTTTCTTGGCTCCTGGAGAACACTTACAAGCACAACTCTATTAAGGCCTCTTGGTTTCTACAGCAGGACAATAACAGCCCTTTGGGAAACAAATAAGGTCATGGATCACAACCTGATCCAGCAGGGATTGTTTAACACCCCCACCTTCAAGAGATAACAGATGACTCTGGAGGACACCAGGGCTTACTCATCCTGGGAAGTACATGAACAGCCTGTCAGAAGGGGAAGCCAGCCAATAGCCAACAAGAGCAGTTAAGGGTTAGCCGCACTTACCTCACAGCAGCCCTATCCAGGAAGGAGTAAAAAGGCAGGTTATAGTTTTACAAAGTAGGAAAGTGAAAGGCAAGACAAGTGACATGACAAGCACTCTGAGGAAAGTGAGAAGCTGGTAGGGGTGACAGTGAAGGCCAGAGAGGGTAAGGGCGTGTGTGTATGTGTGTGAGAGAGAGAGAGACAGAGAGAGGGAAGAAGAAGAAGAAGGAGGAGGAGGAGGAGGAGGAGGAGGAGGAGGAG